GGCACCAATTTTAAAACATGAACATATAATGATAGAAGACATTTGGAATCTGTCTTCCCTTATCTTTCTCTTTTAGTGGACATTCCATGTTGCCTATGTACCCCATGACTTTAGTCTCCTGACCATTGAAGAGTGAGTTTTATGGCTTTTTGAACCTAACAGATTCAGGAAATTTGGAATTGACATTCAAAATTATTAGACATTAACTTTGAACTGGAAAGACTTGAAATCATGGGAGAAAAGGCTGACATTTTGGTGCAGTCATCTTTTGCCATGAGTACAGAAAAAAGATCTGTAAGATGCTTAGAAAAAACACGTAGAACTTGAAACAGAGAACAAGGAGAGAGAAGAAGACATGGAGCCTTGGATCTTGGTATAAATATAGTTGTTGGTTCCAGTCTCTGATTCTCAGCTGCCTTGCTTGCCCCAAGATTATTCTATATACTCTTATGTCCTTGCAATAAATCCCACTTTCTGGTTTAGCTATGCTGAGAGGAAGTCTGCCCTACTTTTCTGAATGTTCCTGTGCACATCAACTGGGCAGTCTTCAGAGCACTTAGAGATATTTGAACCATTCCCAAATCTGTGGCTAGTAGTACTGAAGCACCTGAAGAGACTCTTTATAAGGGACAGGGCCTGGGTATAAACTAATAGTTGGATCAAATGCACATCAACTTCATGCCACCACCATGTTACATTTTTAATCCTGTGCAGTCCAGTCAAATCATGAGGAATTTTATTGTAAACTGCATTCTATGAAGATAGAGTTAGCAGAATTCATTTTCAGAATGACATAATAAAAATCATTTTTCTGCAGAGAATATTCTGACGAAATCCACAGAAACATTTATTTTAGTCCTCCATTCTTCCTCCGCACAAGGAAATGTTCAAAATCCAGAGTACATCAAAATTAGCACATTTTTCTGAGAAAACAAACAAGCTTGCTCCTGATTAAAACAAAAAAGAAAAGAAGCCAGTGTCAATGTCTTTGCAAAGACATTTTTGGGGAGGAGGTGGGGTTGGGTCTATGACACAGTTTTCAAACTATCTGTGCAATAATTTCAAGATATATAAATATTAAATAAATTGACCTGGAACTCTGGAAAGTTGCTGTTCAGTTAGGTTCCTAAGAGGATTTGTTGTTTTTGTTTAAGTTATTTTTTGTATGTGCAGAAATGATTGAATTACAAAGTCAATAGCTTCTTCATTTAGTCATTCATGCATTAACTGGTGTTCTCTGTGGACATGCCTGAGAATAGTCTGATCATTCATCAGGAAAAACTTCAACTCTCATGCTTGTGTTGTGCTAGCTACATACTGGATACTATTCTATATGCTTTTAAGTATTTAATAATTTGCTTCATTGTGATAGGTCCTATTGCTATTCTCATTTTCGGGATGAGTAAACTGAAACAGAGAGAGGTCTAAATACCTTGCCTGGGAATTTGATTCTGGATACTGTGCTTTTAACCAGTTGTAAATATTGCCTTTCAACAATGGTTCTGGCGTACACAACATGTGTTCAAAGGAATCCAGTATTGATGTCCTTTGTGAACACGCCCAAGATTATTTAGCTAGTTCCAGCAGCATTAACTTGTAGTACATTGTAGCAAGACTACTCACCTTCATTTTCTTCAGCCACATATGTTGGAATGCCCTTACACATGACAGAGATGGGTTTTCCAAACCTATCCAGGTCATCAACCCTGTCAGAGTTGACAGTATACATCAGGCCCTTAGGAGGTGGTCCCTCTGGTCTCTGAAGTTGAGTGTGGAGCAGACAGGTAGAAAGAAAAAGAGAGAATGAATGTCAAGCCCAGTGGTTTGCTGAATTGAGGGTTAGGAGCAATTAAGGATTGAATTGCTTGGTAATGATTTTTCCACAATCAAAACAAAGATGAGTCAATTCTAATCCTGTATACTACAGATTTCTGTTTCCCAAAGGGTTCTGCTGGTTTAAATCCTCAGTTTCTCATGACAGCAGAAGTCTGAAGCTAAATTTATTCTGAAACTTGGATCAGAATAATAACCAGCTTCTGGTAATTAAGTTTTTTAATTCCTTTACCTTAATAACTAGAGAGAACCATTTACCAATATCAATTATAAAAATGTGAACTCAGGTCAGTATTTTAAAGAATGATAGATGCCTTCTCCCCACACAGCTTAACTAAGGTTGCCAAGTAAAATACAGAATATCCATTTAAATTTGAATTTCAGAAAAACAGTTACTAATTTTCAGTATAAGTATATCCCCAATATTGCATAGAATATACTTATGCTATAAAAAATGTATCCATTGTTTATCTGAAACTCAATTGGGTATTGTATGTTTTATTTGCTAAATCTAATTTCCCTAACTCAATTCTTGTAGAAAAATGCCCTTGGAGAGTTGCCATGGCCTCTTATTGGTATGAACAGAACTTTACTCCTATGGCGAAAGGTTCTCAGGTGTCCTGCCCAGCCTCTGTAGAGGCAGGGGTGATCCACATAATTTCAGTGTGGTGGCAACTGCATTGGAAGATTCCAATTTCTTTATTTTTATATTTTCTATATATGTATATTTTTTCTTCACATATTCATTTTGGCAAAAGATCATCTTTCTTATGTAGCAGCAGTTGGTTTTTTGCAAATTCTGATTTATCTTCCCCTTATATACTGTACACTAAACATAGTGTGATCAAGAAAGCATGATTATAACTTTCTTATTATTTACTAGAGATCATAAGACCTTCCTCAAGCAAAAAAAAAAAAACTATTTTTACCTTCTGTTTGGCCAGCGCACCAAGGGCTTGAAGAGAGGGCATGACTTCCTTGTTCATTCTGTGCACAACGCACATCTTCTTTCTGAAGAGTCTGATGGCAGCAAAGTTCTGTTAAAAGAATAAATCATAAGTGAGAAGTATGTTCTCCAAGGAGTTCTTTGTTTGTTTGCTTGGTTTGGTTTGGTTTTACCAGCAGTGGAAAACTAAAGTTCAAGATCATGGTGTCTTGGCATGAGTGCACTGGGCCTTTTTTACAACCATATTTGATGTTGACATTTATAAGGATAGAATACAAATGCCTTCAGGACAGAGACTGGGTGTCTTATTTCAGGTTCTTATGGTAAGAGTCACTCTGTATGTCTGTTTTGCTGAAATAAACTTTAAATAACTCTTGCTTTAACCACCTTTGCTTTTCACAGAATTTCAAGGAGGCAGATAGGATAGGAATTCCTTTTCTAATTGAGCAGATGTTGAACTTGAAACAGAGTTAGCTTTTTGAAAGCATGTTTATTAAACACAGAGCTGGATATTACAGTTAGGTCTCCTACTGGAGCCACATTTTTTTTTGTTTGTTTCCCTTAATAATTAATACTTGTCATTTATATCTTCTTTGGTCCTTTTAAATTACAGATGAAATGTCATTTTCTCTCTTTTTAGAAGGAAATTGAAAATAGGATAAGATAGGTTGGGTCTTAATAGTAATGAAATGATGTAGGGCTTTCATCATTATTAAAGGTATTTGCAGGTAAACTCAAAGAACATTTATATTTGTCTCATAGCCCCAAAATTCCTTGAATATAGTGCTTCTCATCACTGTTTATTGATTTGAATTTTAACTAATGATGGGAACTTGGATAACAGTTATATATAGGGAGTGGAACTGGTGACCAAAGTAGGACCTTTGACTTATAATTCTATGCTAACATGCAGTTAGAAATTATTTACTTTTTAGTTTTTTATGGTTACAAGGTTATTTTTGTTGTCGTTCATCCTATTTAGAAAGAGCAGAAGCTGCACCCTGGCTACGCACACTGTTGTAATCCCAGATGCTGTTCCAGGAGTCCCATCCATTGTTATTGTCCACATTGGCCACGTTATGTGCATTGTTGATGCTCACTGACTGACGCCCACTGTCATCACTGTTGCTGTTATCGTTGACGTTGATACTCTGAAATTTATAAGAAATTGACAATTATTTAATATCACATTGCTTTAAAATGCATTTTGGTGACACACTTTAAAATGTGAGACTTACATAGCCAGAAAAGGCAGGTACCAGGGAGATGCCAAGAAGTCCAGCAAAGACAATCTGAAATGACAAATAACAGCTATGTGGCAAAACTGTGTCCTCGGCTTTCTTTTCTACCCAAGATCATGAGGAACATTTACTCTATTACCCCTCTTTTGAGTGCTCTTTTCTTATTTGAATGTATATATTTTTTAACAAGACAAAGTTTTAATAATGATAGAGAATTGTAGGTTTTATTGATAGTAATGATGCTACTGAGGTAGGTTGAGAAGTTTTAATATTGGTCTTATGAAAAACAGATGGAATGTCAACATATTGGAAAATAAATTTGGAAATGTATAACATGTTATGAAATGGTTATAAATTCTGAGAATCACATCTGAAAATATTTAGTTAATTTTCCTATTTAATCTGGCATGCTTTCCTCCTTTTTCTAGACCTTCTAATAGCAAGAGTATGTTTTGATTACAAAGAACTATTTAAGCAATGGAAGCAGGTTAGAAGTTGATAATGAGACGCCAAGAAGGGAGTGTTTGGCTATCAAGTGTAGTTAGCAGAAGGGTAGCCAGCTGTGCTAAGGAACTGGTTTACTACTTTGTCTTTGGAAATAGGACATGGAGCTTTACGGAAGGCATCTGATAACGAGAACCCAGTCTTATTTTGTTTGCCTGGACAAGATGGGTTGAGAAGTGAAGTGATGGTTCAAGATAATTGTTTTATTAATCCTGTCTTCTCCTAACAGGTGAAAATTTGTCACCTAAAAGGTCAGAGGCAGAGGAAACTTAGAGGTGTACGCGCATAATATATGCTATCTTTTCACAGCTGAAGAAATTGACCTTCAGATGTTAAGTGAGTTGGCCATTGTTCACTTGACCAAGATTGTAACTCTTTTTCATGGAAGAACTAGAAGAGAAAAAGAGAAACCATACTTGACCTGTATTTGAAGATTCCCCCCTTTTCCACAAACCATGCTGTTATTAGAACTTATTTCCAGATAATTATTGTACAGTTTCAACTCCATTCTGAACCAGAGTCTGCTAGGATGTATTTTAGTGTTTAGTATGCTGAAACAAGAAGCTAGCCACTTGTTTTTAATCTCTCTGCATCTTTTAACAAGTAACAGACAGAACCAGCAGATATTTTGGCAGTTTTGTTGTCTACATGTTATATTCTGGAGCCACAGGTGAGACGTGATTTGAGCTACATGCTTCAGGTAATTTTCAAGAATAAATAACTATGGACAAGGTCCAAACAATCCTTTCTTACTTGGAGATCCATTTTATAGCAAAAATATCACAATAAGCCACCCACTTTATTTGAGACTAAGCTTTTTATCTTGCCTAAAAATGCTTGGGAGTCTTGATCAAAAGAGGGATTTAAGAATGTGGATAAAATTCAGGCATGTTCTGTGAGTTAAGGACTTTCTGTGTCCAGCTATAAATAAAAAGATTTGGAAAGTAATTTTATTAAAGATAGGATGGCATGCTCAGACAAATATCTAACCCTAGGGTAACAATCCGTCTCTCCTGAGATACTAGTAAGTGTCACAATTGCATGAAAAAGATTTTTCAAAAACACTTTGAGGTTGTTACAAGAAGCAGTTCCCCTTAGCTTAGAATATGATCAGTTTCCAATTATAAAATAGCAAATTCAAAAGGAAAAGTCTACTCACTGTGAACTTCATCTTGGCTTCACCAAAGCAGTGGAGTGGAGAGGATAGGCATGGACTCATATATAAAAAGCCTTCTCATATTTGCACTTGGCCAGCTTTACTCAAAGTAGGTGTGACCAGGTAGAGTCAAAGACCTATCTTTCTCTGTTTCCTTTATCAATGCCATTATCTGCAAACCAGGAAGTTTTTTTGAGTATCTGCCTGGTTAGTAAGGCACTTTGACATGCAGTTGATCTGACTCACCACTTGTTGAAATTGAATATATCACAAAAACCTCAATATGTTTTATGATAACTTCTGATCCAAATGCAGCAGTGGGTGTGTATATTTTATATATAATTATTACTCAGATTTCAGAAAAGAATAATCCCTAAAATCAAACAAGACCACAGATGAGCAAGTATGAGCACACTGGGCCTTGCAGATAGCAGCTCCTCTAGGGCTGTGGCGATGGTTTCCTCCTTACGCCTTCACCTGAGTGCATTGTAAAGGTTTTATTCAGAATAATTTTTAAAAATCTCTTCCCCCTGCCCTCCTGAGTGTCTCAGATCTATGGTCAACCTTCAATTATTAGTCTTACAGTTTGTCTTTATCTGATCCTTTGTTTGGTTTCTCTAAATTTAACATATAAGTGAAACCATCCACATTTACTTATTTTTCTCCCTCTTTCACTTAGAATAATCCTTCCAGTTCCATCCATGTTGCCACAAATGATAGGGATTTATCTATTTTGGTTGTCAAATAGTATTCTATTGTATGTACCACATCTTCTTGATCTACTCACTTGTTCTGAAGGATTTAGATCATTTCCATATCTTGGTGATTGTGCTGCCATAAACAGAGGAGTACAGGATAAATATGTTCCATTAGTTACTCTGCCCAAACCTACAACTTTCTGTAATACTGACCTCTTTCAATGAAAGCGCCATATTTCTGGTAACAGAAACTGGGAACTGTTTTCACCCCTTCTTACCACCACATCCAGTTAGTTTCTGAATATTTTCATTTTGTCTCAGAACTGTTTCTCAATTCTGGCTATGCCATGGCTTCATTCACTCAACTTTTTTTTTTTTTTTTTAAAGATTTATTTATTTATTCATACAGAACTGGGGTACAGGCCAGAGGCTCAGGGGCGGTGAGAGGCTTCACCAGAGACAGAGTGGGGAGCAGAACAGGCAGATCGACGAAGTACACTGCTGAGGGGAGCAGCGGGCGGGTCAGGAGAGGTCTGGCTCGCCATGTGGTCTCCTCCGGGGCAGGCGGCAGGCGGGAATCGAACTCATACGGAAGTGGCTTCAGATTCTCAGTGCTGTGCTTTAACCCGCTGCGCCACCAGGGAGGGCCCATTCACTCAACTTTTACATCAATTGTGTTATTGATTACTCAGCTCACTAGTTTCATATTCCAGTGCATTTGTTTTGTTTTGTTTTACTGAAGTTTGGCTTCCTAAAGTACATACATAAATAACATGATTTTACCATGCTTAGAGACATCTGCTGATAGTCTAGAAGCTAAACCTAAAATTCACTGAAGTGGCGTGGAAGGTTCTTTATAGTAATATGTCCAAAGCCTCCTCAGCTGGTCTCTCACTATATGTCATATTCCTCCACTCCAACTGCACTAGGGTTCTCACTATTCCTGGAACATTCTACTTGTTTCATGTCTCCTTTGCATATGGAGTGGAGTGGGAGGATAGGCATGGACTCATATATAAAAAGCCTTCTTATATTTGTACTTGACCAGCTTTACTCAAAACAGGTGGGACCAGACAGAGTCAATGACTCTACCCCTGGCTTTCCCCTAGTTGGTAGGCTGAAATTCACTTTTCAAGGTCCTGTTCAAACACCACTGTCTCCCTCACATTTTCTCCATAGCTAGAGGAAACTTTCTTGCTAGAATTATGAAATAAATCTCAATCTCAAAATATACTTTTAGATAATTTAATTTGCATAAAATTACAATAAAATTTAATATAAATAATGATAAAAAGGTTTTCATCAGAAGCAGAGAGTAGAGGTTGTTACTTGATCAAACAAGTAAGTGCTCAAGACTCTCTTGGAGGTGAATTAAAGTTTGAGATTATCCCAACTCCACCCCTGATCTCTCCTACTAACTGAAGCTGCTATATCAAATTGCTAAGAGGAAAACTGTATCTCATTAATTACTGATCAGTAAATTTCTCCTTTGGAAACCATCCTGAGCCCATTATTATCCTTTCATTTGTGGATTGGAATCACAGAATGGGCTTGCAAGGTTTTAAAACTTGACACACTATCAACAACTTTTCAAAAAAATTGGTATGGCTGTATTAGCATATGTGGTTAGATTTTGTTCATATTTCTAAGTGTCTGCTAATTTATTTCAAACTTACTCTCTAACTACAAGAGATCAACAAGCTTGGGGTAGGGGACAGACCTGTGAAGAGCTCTTCATCTACTATAGAAGTTGTTTCATATCACTGCAGAGTTCAAGAGCTGATTTCATGGTACCTTGAGGCTCAGTCATGTGTAGTAACTTTTGTACATAGGTGAACTAGCATATGTTTTGATTGTCATAGCTTAGCAAGGATTCCAGGTTGACATTTTTTTCTAGTGAGTTACATAGTCTGCTGATCTAGAAGATACTCCATCCAAGCAGATAGATGATAGATAGATAGAGGGAGAGACAGAGAAGGGAGGGTAAAAGGGAGGGAAATGGAAGAAGAGTTGGGGTGTGGGGGGGAGAGAGAATTAGTTAAGTGTCCAAGAAAGCTCATCTGAGAGACTTATAACTGACATTCACTTATCAGATGTGCTTAAAATAGAGAGAAATCTCTGTACAAAGCGAGAAATCTGTCATAGTGTTTCATTCAGATTCTCTTAACCTTGATTAACCATAGAATTAAAGTATTTTGTTTGTTCTTTAGTGGATTTATTTCTCCTAACACCTATTAACATCTTTGGGGAGCGTTATCTTTCTAAGGGAAGTAACAATTATATTTCCTCTGAGAATGCACCCTTGATCTGAAAATCCCTTTGGGGAGCTGCTGGATGGAACTAGGAGTGAGTAGAACTCTATACAGTCTGTCCTGTTTCCTTCTTTCAATGAGACCTTTTGCTGTTTAGGTCTTAGATTTCCTAAGGTAAAAGTGAAGACATTCCTTGTTTATACACTATTGTTTTCATGATTCAATAATCATAGAAATCTTTTCCTCTGTACTTTGTGTGCTATGTATGAAGCTTATGTAGGAGTGGGGATCAACCCTAACCCCAATCTTGGTCTCATTCAAGATCAAAAGTCTTAAAGAGGCATCAGTAATACTCTTGCTTTCCCTTACCTTGTAAGCTAAGTCTTACATGTCTTTGCTCTTTCTTTGCAGAATGACAGAACATATTAATGCTCTTATCATCTCCACAGAACCTAGACTATGTGATATTCAGTAGGACTCTTTAAAAACTCAAAATTGTATAAAGGAGATGCGTAAACTAGAGGATAAACATAAATTATATTATTCATTTCTGATTTTTGCAGCCAGTTGGAGAGTTTCTGTGCTACATTAGCTAGAGTGACATACCAAGGGATTCCAATGCTATGGTTTGACTTCTGTGTTCTGGGGTTAGAGTGGACCAAACTAGGCCCTCCCCTGTAATTGGGTAAATAGGGCCTGCCTTGTGCACACTGCCCATGAAGTTTGATGCTGGTCTTGCCAAGAACCAGTCCTGTAACCATTTTATCTCATAGTTCACACACCCAAGTCCTTGCTTTACCTCACACCCTGTCTTGTCAAACTGGGTGGTAACTCCCTTTGTATGGAACAAACAAGGAATACAGAATGATATGGTCATATTCTAGATTTGAAGAACTTTCTAGAATTTTATGACATAAATAGACTTAATTTTTCTTTCATTTCTCTGAGTGGAATATTTAAACACTTACAGGGCACATTTTCATCATTAAATTTCTTCATTCAAGTTTCTTTCTGCTGTACAAAAGAGTTGAAAAGAAAATTCTCCAAAGAGGAAATGCAGATGGCCAGTAGGCACATGAAAAAAATGTTCAACATCACTTATAATTGGGGAAATGCAAATCAAAACCACAATGAAATATTACCTCACACCACTAAGAATGGCCCACATTCAAAAAAAACTTAACAACAAATGTTGGCAAGGATGTGGAAAAAAGGGAACCTGCTTCCATGGCTGATGGAAAAGCAGACTGGTCCAACCACTATAGAAAAACATGTCGAGGACACTTAAGTTACTAAAAATGGAGCTACCCTATGACCCAGCAATTCCACTTCTAGTAATCTACCCAAAGGACATAAAAACATTAATTCAAAAGGATACCTGCACCCTTATGTTTATTGCAGCACTATTTACAATTGCTAAAATATGAAAACAACTTAAATGCCAAAAAATGGATGACTGGATCAAGAAATTAAAACAAACAAAAAATATTCTCTCTGCTATACAGAAGTGTTATGGGGCCAACATTGCCAACATCAACACTTATGAAGCTTATGGTGATGTCATCTTCCCTTTATGTAGGGAATCCCATTTTCTGTTATTTAGGATTCAGGTAGACTTAAACCCCACCTGCCTTCACACTCTAACTCACATACTTGAGCATGGAACTCCTTTAGGCAAATTCTATCTCAGTCTCTTCATCTTTATATTGTTACTGTATGTTGATGACTCTTGTGATGGTCCCCAGCCAGGTAGTTGTGAACACATTCTTTCATCTCTGGGGAAATGAAAGTACACTGCTCTGCAACTACGGTTCTACAAATGATTCCCAGGAAAAGTGACAATGGTGTACCTGTATCAAATCTTCTTTTTGTATTTGTGGCCAGGAATGATAACATCCAAACAATAGCAATAGAAACATTTAAAATAACACATTCATAATTATTACTAGAAAGCTTCTATTTCCAGAAAATCCATGTTTATTACATAGTCGTTTTTGTATAGGAGAGAAATTCTTTTCAAATTATAGAGAAGTGAAGAAAGCTCTTTCCTATGTCATTGTAGAGTCCTCTCTTTTGGTTGTTTCCTCTGGGACTATTGCCTTCCAAAATATAT